TTTATTCTATTTTATTCTTTCACTCGCTGTCTTTTCTACCTCACCTGCTGCTTTAACAAGTACATTTTGCCAGTGTGGGATGAATTTAAATTTTTTGGGTTTATCTTATCTCATCTGAATGTAGAAATGTCTAAAAAGTTTAACATGTTTATCCCTTTATAATAAGGTATCCAAATAGAAAACACAAGCTGTATTTACAAGATCTTAGCACATTAAAGCAACATTACAGAAGTCTTTAAGTCGGACAAACAGGTTCAGTGATTATAGGCTGGAGTTTGACCCTGTACAACATTATATTTTAGAAATGATTTCAAACTTTACCATGGCGAGTTGGCGTCCTATGTTTCCCACGGTAACCCCACCTGAGAAGAATATACACGGGAGCCAGGAGCGTATGTACAAGAAGTCTGGAGATGTGTACCTGAAAGAGAGAGTGAGAGACAGAACACAACTTATTAAGTATAATCCTCAAAAATATGAAACGGGTTTGGTGACGTTCTGGAGCCGGACCTCGGACCTCCCAGCAAGGAGATCAAACAAAAACAGCCTGGTCCAAAAATCAACAAGTTCTCTTTTAATGAAGAAAACAACTGTGATTTAAGAATAAGACGTGTGTCACATCTGACAGGAAGGAAATGTTTTTTAATCCAAAGCTGGAGACAGATCTGTGACAGATCTCCAACTAAGAAAAACATACAAAACCTGTCATGCTGGAAAACATTATTATACCTCCTCATTGCTCACCCTGCGTTTCTACCTTGTCAAGTCAGCCTGAGCTGCAGCTGCCGTTTGAACCTCGTGTCAACAGTCACTTCTCGGCTGTGTGTTTCTGATTATCTGCCACTGAAGCATGCAGGCCTGTTCATTTGGCTGCCAGAGATAAACATGTAACTCAGTACTATGTGTTATCTTTAACATCTTCTTTTTTTTGGCATCAGACATGTACAAACACTTCAGGATACTCGGTTTACTTCCTTCAGGAGGGTGGGGCTTACTATCAGAGCTGTATAAACAACCATTACACCCAGTCACGCACAGTATTTGTTAAGCTTGTTATTAATCTCTGAACACAGCATCAGTTTTGCTTCCTCATAAGCGAGCTTTCGTTTCACAGCTAACTTACTGGTAGACGCCATTGTAGACGAGCAGCTGCGTGAACGCAGTGGCGAGGAAGGCAGTGGTGATGCCCAGGCCGAAGCCGCTGCGGGATCGGTCAAAGGTCCACCACAGGCCCAGGGACAAGGCTGCGAGTGTCAGAGAGAGCTGCACGTTGTTGTCGAAGTCCAGTTTCTGTGTTACGGGGGCAGTTAAGGTCAAAGTGAAACCGTTTGACGTCTGTTGTTACCCAAATATTTGTCTGACTTTCTAGCACCAAGTTCCTTCACTTCTGAAAAGATGAAGGGTAAAGCACAACAGCCTGTTAAAGACATCAACAGTAAAAACATAGATTTCTGAATCAAAGATTTCTGCCACAACAGAAGTTCTTGGCGAAAGGATACAACGCTGGCGTGGTTGATGCCGACGAACACTGCGATGCACCTCATGACGCTGGCCCACTCCCTCTTGAACTTGTGCGGCTCACCCAGGTGGCTGTCGAGGCAGGGGTAGAGGAGGCCGACCACGGCTGCAGACAGGAACAAACAGAGACTCAGCATTAAAACAAGATAAGACCAAGTTCTGTGAAACGCCAGAGGCCAGACTGTGTCACTGAGATTTTATTAACGTGTGTTTTCATAATTACACATTCATTTACTAAATTAGATTACTTTTTAAACTTGCTTGTTCGACAATATTTACTTTTGGTGTTATGTTACCATCATCATTCTGTGTCATTAATCAATACTGGAATATTAGTTGTAAACCAAACAGGGACATTGTGTTATATACCAGAGCTGAATGTATTAATAACATTCATTTTAGCAAAGAGAAAAATATTAAAAACCTTTGCAGGTTTTTCTCTATTTCATATCATTTCTATTTTGAAGGACATGTGATCAAATGGATGAAACTGAAACTAGGGGATAAAGTCAAAACAAAACGTACGTTAAAAAGATAAGATAACACTGTATTAGTCCCACAACGGGGACATTTGTAATATTACAGCAGCAAGAGTCAAACATAGGCACCAGCAAGTAATAACAAGTAATATGCAATACTCAAGTGTGAGGAAATAAAGAAAATATAATATATACAGTTTAAAAACAAGCAAAATATATGAAGTGTGAGAATATTACATAGAATGAATAAAGTTCAGAGAGTTGAATAACTGCAGACTTGTTGTTGAAAGCACATAGTTGAGTGAAGTGAAGACCTTATATGACACTGTCAATCATTAATCAGGCCACACTCAGTCATAACATGCAGCTTCTCCTCCACCTCCATATGTTTTCCCTCTGCAGCCACATGATGAGGAGGAGGAGCATCGCTAACTTCCGGGTTCCTCGCCTTACGAGCACCGCCCCCTCAGCTCACCCGTTATGACACAGACCAATGAGCGCGCGGCTCACCTCGTGTCCGGGCAGCTGCGGCCAATCAGAGCTCGGCAATCGCCACCATCTGTTTAAAGTCAGTTTTATTTCACCCCCCCCCTCAGGTGACTCGCAGACGAGACCACGCAGACTGAAAAACATCAGTTTGAGAGGCGAAGGATTGTGTAACAGCCAATAACAACACAGCCGAACGATGAATCATAACCTCCGGATCACACACGAGCTGTCTGCAGAGGCGATCGTGTAAACGTGTCGTTTTTCTGCACTGTTTAGTTTAAAAATTACACATTTTTCAAAGTAGTCTGGCGTGTGGTGCAAACAAACACCTCAGAGGGGATTTAAACTTGCATATGCAGCTTACATGATTCACTAAGTTGATGTTTGATGGATTATACTTTATAATAGTTGTTAGTAAGGGGGTAAAGCTGCAGCACTGTGACTCCTCCCCTCCCCACATTCCTTTGTCTCAGAGTTAGTCCTCAGATAACCCGGGTCAAACCGATCCCCCCCAAAAAAACATCTACTTCTATCCACCCTCCATGTTTGTGGGTACTCACCGGCCCCGGTGCCACAGCACGGCGGGATCCACCAGGCGGAGGAGAACAGGGTGGTCATCACCTCCTCGGGGAACAGGGTGACGTGTCTCTGAATCTGGAGCAAGTTGAGCACCAGGGCGAGGAAGACCCCCACCGTGAAGAGGACGAGGCCCCGGCGGATCAGGTTGGCGGTGCGGACGTCGTGCAGGGAGCCGTAGGCCTGGCTCAGCACCGACGTGATGATGGACATCATCTCTTCGGCTTTGTACGCCAACCAGGTCGCTCCGGAGGACGAGTGCTTGGCTTCCACGCTCGACGCACAGGAGCAGCTCCAGCAGCGGTGCTCCAGTCTGGGCATTTGGCACTTTGGGGCTGGAGGGAAGGAGGTGGACACTGTCATGGTTGCACACAAACACAAACACACACACACATGCAGGGATGTTTAAAAGTAAGTGTGATGAAGAAGAGAGAAGCTCTTTACCTCGATCTCCAGACGTCTTCGGAGTCTGGTCCAAACTCAACCCTCCTCCTCCTCCTCTGCAGCTCATCAGGCGATAACAGCCCCTGTGTTTCACAACAAGGATCAGTCCCGTTGTGTGCTCACATCATCGTGGACACACACGCTCGCACACACTCCATTCCTCAGCATTGGGTTCATACCAGAGACGAGAGCTTCCTCTGCAGAAAACAATCACAGCTGTGTCGGGTGAGACTCGGCAGCCAATCAGAGCGCGGCGGCTGATATGACGTGGCGCCACCCCACCGCCCCCTCGTCCGGCTCTCAGACGCACAAACCAGGCAGGATGACTGCAGAGCCCTGAAGTGAAAGTGCAAACATCTACTTAAATGGCAGCAAAACATATGGAAGTCTGAGTTTGAAGAGGCAGGAAAGGGGGGTAGTGAGACGTGCAGGGATGCAGCACGTAACATGAGCTAAACTGGGAAGTTAGAATCAGGCTTTTATGGCCAAGTAGGTATAAACACATGCAAGGAAACTGCTGTGGTGTGAGTGCAAACATACATTTAGAAATACAGAAACGGTTTAAAAATATAAAAGCACTAGACACTGGAAAAAATGTGAAATATGAACAGTAGATATTTACAGTTTGAACTATTTGACAGTGTGCATCTTGAATTATGAGAGCAAACACAAAACATACACAAAATCCTCAAATCTGTATATGACAATAGAATTGAAACAAAGTGCATAATCACATATTTTTTCATATTGCATGTGTATTCAACAGCCTACATTGCATTGTATGCTGCTCTGCATAGGGTCAAAGACACATCTTATCTTCAAAAATACAATAAAACATCCTTAAAGTTCTTTATGAATCCAAAATTATATCCCGCACCTGCAATGTGTATGCATTATAAGAATATTAGTTGTTTTCTAGGAGGAGAGGTGTGTTTACCAGGCTAAGATCAGAAGATGAGCGCAGTCCTTCTTGCATGAATACTTTCACAGATCCAGTATCTCTTCCTCTATAACATTCCACGGCAACACCTCCACAAACTAACCCCAGCTTCCATACGCCCTTATATATACCTGCAGCTGAGAAATGGGGTTAGTGGTACACCTGTTTTTTCTTTGCAAATACAGTTGTTGAACTTTGGGTCAGGTTAGAGGAGGTGGGGCCTGCCAGGAGGAGTGTAGGGCATGTAGGGTCCCTGCACGTCAGCCAGTGACAGTGTGTTTGGGGGGAAAGAAGTTCAATCCCTTACATAGTCTTTGAGAGATCTGACAATAACATGGGAACATGTTGCGTAAGCACCCTGCATGACCCAGACAGATAACCTAAAAGGCAGATTGAAAACAAACTTCCCTCCATTGCATACGTGCTGTGAAAAACATACATCCATAGGTGCATGTTTTGCTCCTCTCTGTGCCTGCGGTCATGCATGGGTTATTTATTTCTCATTTGACATTGAGACACACCCACATAACAGACATATGCAGGTGAAAACTTGCTGCTGTACATTTTTTAAAGATGAAATATGCACCCTCTCTTCACAGAGACTAGCAAAACATCACCATCATTTCAACATAACTGTCAAAAAAGTGCCACACTAAATCATATTTACTTAATTTCAGCTGCTGGCACTTTATAGAAAGTGTGATGGATGAATCATGCAATTGCAAATTGGCAAAACGGAGTAATGCTTCATGACCTACAGCAAATTTTGGAAACAAAAACACAGAGTGTATCAATCAGATTGCTTTTCTTTTCAATTATGTTTAATTAAAATCCGTTTTTTGGTGGTAATCAACTGTGCCGCTGATTTCTCAGGGTGTTTTATTCATTTTTTTGTTTCGGCGATTATGTGGTGCTAAAATGCAGAACTGTGCAACGTGGAGACAGATTTTTGGTTGTCACCCAGTATTCTGCTTCAAAGCCACAACCCAACTGCTGAATTTATCTCCTCTTTTTATGGCTGACTTCATCTGCCATGTGGAGGAAAATGATGCCCCAGTTACTGTGGATATTGGTAAAAACAGGCAATAACAATATTTATGAAAACATCTTGGGCTCATCATAGACTTTTGGCCATTTTAGCCTAATTGCTCCAGGGACGGCAATGCTGACTGGTTGGTTGGTCTGTCGGATCATCACTTTGGTCCACACTGAAATAAAATTAAAATATTAAAAGACACAGAGTATTTTTTAATGACTTTTCCAATTGTGGCAGCAGCAGGTCAAAGTTTTCACTGATCTAATAGTGAAATATCTCATTGTTTACAACATGAATTGGAACATAACTCTTCACAGATGTTCATAGTTTCTTCATAACCTTCCCTTGAGATTTTGATGATGACTTTTCCCTCAGTATTACCTTAAACCACTATTCGAAGCATGCTAAACTAAGACTGGAAACACAGTAAACATTATTCATCATTATCAGCATGTTAGTATTTAGCTCAAAGCTCTGCACACCCTCTCAGAGCTACAGATACTGTTTTATTATACCAACGGGAGGAACTACTTTATTCAATTGACTTTCACATTATAAGTTTCAAACCATGACATCACAGGACTTTAAAGATAAAACAGCTCTTTTATGTCCACTAAAGCAGTACAGAATGTGTTTTTGAATGTTAGCAATACATACAAGTCCTCTTACGGGCATTACAGTTTCCAGACAGCACATTCAAATTGACCCAGTGTAAATTGGTTCCACTTGAACTGAATGGGAAACTGCCATTTCTAAAATGGCAGTGATAAATGAATGGTTAAGTATAAATGTCACAGTTGCACTCCATTGGAGCCGTTTCACCATTTTGTACCAAGTAAGTCAAGCATGAAAGTGTATTGACGGTTGAAAAGTTTGTACCCCGTCACAGTTGTGAGCGCTTCGTGTTGGTGTGATCAGACGCCTTGAACAAACACAGCATGTCTTACAGGATGAGAGGGAAAAAAGATATTCTGCTTTTCAAACAGGTTTCTTTTTCTTCTTCACTCATTTCATAGTGTTTTTAAAATACATTTGTATATATTGGCACAGATCCCCATTCATGACCTCTTTACAGACATGCCGCCGCTGTCCTTACATGACGCTCAGCCACTTTTACTTTGCAGCAATCCATAGCTAATGACATCAGTCATATTTTTCCTGTTCAAATGTCAGTGGACCATGTGGTTGAAGCAGATAAATCATCACCGCCTCACAGTTTCACAAAGGGGGGGTAAGGGGGTCAGAAATAGAAGGGTGTACCTAGAGGGAGCTCCCCAAGTCCCCAAACTACCGCACCTCCCCGATAATCCAACAATAGTATTCGTCTCTGCCTCAGGACAAAATGAGTATGCTTGTTTCTGGGAAGGAGTGTGTGCAGCTGTATATTCCCCCAATGAATATGTTTCTCTCTGTGTAATTCTTGGCAATCCGGGTGCCTGAGGATAAAAGCCTTCAGCATTGAGTGTGTGTGGGTGTCAGTGTGTAAATCTGGGTTTTTTCTTCATGTGTATACATGTACGTGTTTATGTAGGAAGAAAAAAAATCTATTGTAGCATAAATGCATGTATTTAGATCACGTCTACTGCTTCAACGAGAAGCATTAATGCAGATGCTGAAATCACAACCTGTATGTTTGCTGATGCAGGGCTGTAACAACCATGAACATTTATAGGCACATATACCAAATAGCTCCTAGCAACCAGCAGTGCCGGCGATGGCGTGGAAGAGGTCTCAGGCACATCAGAAGATAAAGCAGGATGCTACGACACTTCAAATGAATAGCAGATCAAGCGTGTCATAGATTATGCTGTTAGACTGGGAGGGATTGAATTATAGCTGAAGGAGAAGCCTCCTGGAACAGCTGCTGAATTGATCTATCAAACTCCAGTTTGACAATTTTGCTCCTCAGTCCCGTGTGAAATTATAAAGGGGAACGTCCCTAATCTGTCCTCTTCGAAAAGTTGATTAAGACGAAAATGGTTCTGGCATCATGCAGCGTACTCCCTTTCGTTTACGTGTCAAAATTCATTGCATTCATTCTTCACTATGTGCCACTTATAGAGAACCTTTAAAATTGTGTTGCCCATAATAAAAAATGGTATTTACATATAAATCCACCCCTTTGTATCACTAGGTTAATAATCCAGCGATTTCAAAATTCTCAGAACCTATTTTATTTCTTTTCTCTGACACCTTTGCTTCGGTGCTTTCTGGGTACGTTTCAGGACACACCACCTTTTTTTCCACTGCCACTCCCTCCCGCACTGTGCCATGGAAGATGAAAGGGGATTCTGGTGTATGGAGTGTATCGAGCAGCTTAACAAAAGGGATACCATAAAGGCCCTGACTCTACACCCCGAGGGCGTGGCACCAGGATGCAATCTCGCAGCCCCTTTGTTCTTTGGTGCTCAGCTCCAGAGATTGTTTCTTAGCGGCTCACCTTTTTCCACAGCCACGTCCTCCACCCTTCTCTGTGCAGCCTGCCTCATCTTCTGGTTGTATTATGTTAAAACAGAAAGAATATGTTGGGTTTTAAGGGATGATAAACAGATCCTGAGTCAGAGCTATACAAGCCAAATAAACTCTTTTTTTCCCCGAGTATAAAAAAACCCATATTTCAAAGACGCTGATCTCAATTGCTTATTCGCTTTCTTACCAAAAGTTGGAGAATAAAGTTGATTCCACCTGCATGTCCGTACACTGAAAAATAAAAAATGTTTACCTACTTAAAAAATATACTTCAATTGGTGGAAAACAAATTATTCACATTTCTAAAAATTAAAGTTGTGTTTTGGAACAGCTTTAATTTGAACAAATGTTCAATTTTTGTGTTACCACTTTAAGTAAGTTTTTAAGTTGGTGTTACTGTTGTTTTTAGTCTCTCCATTATTGAACAGATGGAACAACAGTGTTGTATTGTGTCGGTTAGTAAGCGTTACATTTTATTACCTCCTGACAAAGCTAGCTAGCCATTCACCCTGTTTCCAATGTTTTCTAGAGCTACATGTTTACAGTACAGACATTATCACTCTCCTCGTCTGACTGTCAGCAAGAGAGGTCTTTGGCCTAGTTTCAAAATGTCAAACTATTCCATTATGTTGATATATGGCCTTCGCTGCCTGTTTGTTACGATAACCTACACAACCCTGTACTCTAATCAGCAGTGAGCTTCCTGCCGCTGAACTTATTGCTGTTGTTGACCTTTTAATAGCCATGTTTCACTTAAAAGGAGAACTCCAGTTTATTATCTTACTTTTAAGGTATGTGGGTGTGACTGGGGATAAACGGTATTACTTTATGATTTTAGTGCAGTTTTGTAAACACGGTATGTGAGTCAGCTTGTCATACCTGCAGAATCTATGACTTGTACTGCTGAATAAACACCTTGTGACAATCTCATTATTAGCTTCACTAAGGCAGTACTTTGTTTCAGGGCATGTACTGAATGGTTTTTAGATGACAGCATATAGGTGTTTGGGATACAGCTCCCTTGTGCTTGTGCATGTGGCATGTTTACACAAAAGCTCAATGCAACTCAGTCACGCTCAGCGTCTGTGAACAGCACAGTTCCAACAGCCAATGAACATTTCCCCGGGGCGTTTGCTCAGGTGTCACTCTCCACCAATCCACGCTGCTCCCTCCTGGCCACATTTGTTTGTCTGTGTTAGAAATAGGGATCTGTATATAAGAGGAGGAGCATGAGCTAAATAGCTGAAGAGCAGGTTTGTTTAAAGTTGAACTACAATCTTAAAATGCATTTTTATGTTTTCTTTTCTTCCTTCTTGCACAGTGGGCTTTTATTCGGTAAATCTTCTCCTCTAGCTGAGCAGCACGGAGGCCGAATTCAACGATGATCTAATCCACAGACAAATCCCGAAGCTGCTTTACAGACAGTGAATAATGGGACAGCTCCTGACGACGGCACCCATCGTGGAACTTTTACAGAGATTTGACTTAAACTCGTTCAGTTGAAATTAATCCAACAAAAACTCTGTCACTCCTCAACTCCACGAAGGGCCACAGATTTGTATGAATTAAATCAAAGAA